TTAAATATTAAATATTAAATTATTTAAACATTATTTTTTTTTGTAATTTTATTCGCAATTTATATGAAACATTGTTGTATTATATGTTTTGTGAATAAAGTGGTACTTAACGGAGTAGCTTTCCACAAATTCATAACGATAAATTTATCGATAGCTGGTCCAAATTTATCGATACAACACATAAATATTTTATAGTGTTTGTTATATTATAATAATATCTTGTAGATACCTAAAATCTCTCTCCAATAGACTAAAAATACGTATTTAAGGGGTAATATGCAACCCTTCTGCAAATCATTGGACATACGCAAAGAAGGGTGAGGATCTAAGTGAAAGAAATGAAGTATGAGAAAAATATCGACAGCTAATATTTGTAAAAAAAGGAAGGCGTAAAGAACTAGAAGAGTTTGCTAAAAAGAAAAAGAAGAAATTCACATTAAAACTTATATAAGTAAGAGAGTAATATTATTATTAAAAGCTATAAAAATAAATATAAACTTATATTAAGAATTATATATTATTATATTTTAATGGCTGATTAAAATAGTAAAAAAAAAAAACAGTTCAGATATACACGCGCAAAAGATTTTTAAATATTTTGATAATTATATCTGTCTTTTTTTTCTTGATATCAGAAAATGTACATTTGCTACGTTACATCTTGCAAATAATAAACTAAAATAAAAAGAAATGTTCGGAGAAATATTCATCGATGCGTCCAATGAATAATTATATGTGTATATTTAATACTCCTAACAAAGAGTCGCTTAGACAACCGAGTTATTGTATTCCGTTTGAAGCAGAAAATGAAGAACTGTCATAAAACTGGGTGAAGTGTTGTGCTCGAGAATCGCTAGTTATTAATATTTCAAAATGTGCAACTTGGCAAGTTAGCTAAGAGAGAAATCAGCCATGTAGATTAATTAAAAGTGGCAGAGATTAATTAAAGAAATATAGGAAGAAAATAACGTATGCATTCTGCATTCACACATTGTGATAAAACGACAGCATATATTAAACATTTAGATTCTTACTACTATATAAAAACTATTATTTGAATTGTGAGAATTAAATTTATTTTTTTGCTTAAGATACAAAAAATAAGCATTTCTCGAATACAAATTTATAAATCTAAATTTCTATTCTACTTATTCTTGAACAATCATGTCTAATGTTGTGTAATTTCATTAAATCCGAAAGAGGATTCCAATTTTTTTTATCTCTCTGTCATCAATCTTATTCGCAAGATATTATTCGCTTCCCGGGAGAGAGAGAGAGAGGAGAGAAAGAAAGAAAAAGAATTTCTTTACGGAAATATCCTATGTAATAAAATGGAAATGTTGTTCCCCATACATGTAAACTTTGACCTTATTCTCAGAGACATGCGTTATCTCTTTTTACGGATATTTTTACACTCCTGGTCTTGGAGGCTGCCAATCTTGCTAAGAATTAATCATAAACTTTATGCAAAACCGATAATCAAATTATATTATATGAAATCAGAGATTAAGATTAAATTATATTATATCATATGAAAGCTAGCAATTTTCTCAGATTTTAGTATTCAATTATGTGAGAAAATAAAAAGAATAATAATTTTATATATAATTGTAAGTAAATACCGTTCCTTTATAATATTATTTCTTATTTCCCCATTCTCATTTATATATAATTTTCAAGATTAATTAATTCTTATTTATCTATTATTTTCCAGATTTTAAAACCTCCAAGCAAGAGCCGCAAATAATATCGGCGCTTTGGAGTCCCGGAATTACAATGATGATGTTGGCCAACAGCTGACAGCGAAACAACTCGTCATGAGATATAAGCGCCTTTAGCTGCGGGAGTTCTCAAGGGAGTCTCTTTCAGTAAAACGATCTTTTCGCAGAAAACCGTCCCGCACGAGCGAGACGGCGCTCTCTCAGGAGGATGCTACACCCGCGTATTGTAAGGCTCCCTATATTCGGGCGGTGCGTATACGGTAGCCTAAACGACAAAGAGCCAACGGGATCGACCGCGCGGTCCATTTCGCGTACTATGAACTCAGCTACTCTTCACAAAGAAATCAAATATTAAACATTCTCTTGATTTATGTTAGGAAAGCTATACTTTCTATATAGTGTTTTGCACTTTTTCTTTCCCGAAAGTCCCGAAAGTTTATTTCATTCCGAATGCAGAAAGTATGAGAAAGTAGTGCTGAAACGAACAAACCTACTTTTTTTGCACCTTATGTATTCTATTCTTAAAACATGTTTCCCATTTCATTAACGTTAATTGCATGGCCATTTGTAAAAAAAAAAAATTATTAATTCACAAAATTTAAATGAATCGGCTTTGCAATATGTTTAAAACTCTACATTTTTAATTCAATTTGCTCAAAATTAACATTTGATAGGTTAATAAATTTACATACAACACCGTTTAATTGAATTAAACGAGGATTAAAATCTTTAATATTAATTAAAGCTTTTGTTAGATGCTTATATTGTGTAAAGCTTAAATTCATGCTATCATGCTGAAAAAGAAGCTCAAAGTTATTATTAATAAAATATTTTATCATCGGTTATATATTTATCTTAATGTCTTCTTTTACTCAAATATTACCGATGGATTCGAAACACATTATATAGCAAAGTAGCATCCTTCACTTTGTATGATTACAGATTTTCTCTTGCAAACTAAAAATTAATATTTTTTCATTTAAATTATTATATTATATTTATAGAATTCTCTTTTAAAGAATATTTTTATCCTATTATTGACAGAAGTTTTGTTTTCCATGACAATTCAACTTATCTCATTGTTAATATGAAATACACACACACACACACACACACACACACACATTCTTTTTCTCTTTCTCTCTCAATTTATTGCACACCGAAAATAAAGAATCGCGAGATAGCGACGAGAGTGGTATTAAATTACGCAAAGGAAAGTATGAGACTTACCGAAATACTTGTCCGGTTCCAGGCCGGAGTCCTTGTCCAGGCCGCATATGACGAAGTAATCCGCAAACCGTTGCGGATGTTGCTCCGAGCCGCGCGCTATTCCCAAGCTCCCGTTCATTTTTTCCGATGCGGGGGTCTTGATCTTGATTGCAACACGGTAGTTGCGATGCTCTGCGGCTCACTTCACCCAGCACTGCTTCACGCTGCTTCACGCTGCCGAGCTTCACGAAATTGATTTCCACATCGCGCACCACCGACGCGACGCGAGACTGTCATTTCACGGCGAGACAACAGCTGAGCGAGCGCCGCTGCATACGGCACGCGACGCGCACGGAACAGCACGAAACGACCTGGCGCTGGTGCTCTCGCTCTGCGAAGCGGAGCGCTGCAGAGCGCGGAGTGCGGGTCTCCCGCGGACGATTGATCTTTTACCGCGGCGCTTGAAGTTGACCGCAAGGCGCGTCGAACGCGCCGCGATTTGGCGCGCGATTTAATTTCATCTCGGAGCACATACCGACTATTACGGATTGTGTCTCACAACCTCCGTACGATATTTTAATATTCTAAAGAAATTTAAACAATTTATAATCTACAATAATAGTAATAATTAATATAATTTAAAAAAGGCACAAAAAAGAGCAACAACAATTTAACTATGACGCATTGCTACTTACTCTGATATTATTCGGATCGCTCGATTTAATATCATAGACATATAAAAATATGATTAATTTTTATGTCCATATATTCTGTATTAATTTATTTTTATTAATTAATTTTTATTAATTTATTTTTCTTTATTAATTTATGTATATAATCTAATACTGATAATTAAAATTTATTACTGAAAGAACCCCGCACTAATCATATGGAAAATCTGTCCCGGTCAAATCAATTGGTTTTTACATATGTTGTAGCTTATGACCTACTGAACAAAAGATGTAATGGGCACAAAGCTCAATAATGGACAGTTATCGAATTATAACCAGTCAAACATGAAAAATTCGGACTGCCGAATAGTCAAATCTAGGAAGGTATTGATTTTTTTGAAAAATGTTTGAAACAAACACACACATAGTAGGGTTTTACAAAATCTGTTAGTTGGTGACATTATTTGTGAATTTTGAATGACCTTGAAAAGCTCCGTCAACAAAAATCTTCCACAAAAATGCCTATTTTTTATTATATTCGTGTAGCTAAATTCGAGACGTTTTCAAAATATTTTTGATGAACCTTTTTCTACTAAAACTTGTTGAGAACTAATATACACGATTTACCATCTCTGGTTAGGAGATTTGACTATTGGTACATTTCAGGTTCGTCTAGCAAGATCTTATATTCAAGATAAGATGCAGCGTGATGCACAAGAAGAATTTCAATTGGATTCGTTGTTTGATGAACAAGGTTTCATAAGGGTGCGAGTGTTTTCACGATTCCGTAATGCTACAAAACATCAAATATTTATAGCTTACAACATAAGAGATGCAGATAATATAGATGATGAGAGGGAGGCGATTTTTGGTTATTACTGCACCTGTAAGTCAGGCGCACGGACTGTGGGTACATGTGCACATGTAACCAGCGTATTGTGGTATTTAGGATATGCACGACACCAGCCCAATGTTCATTATCCCTCTTCATCATTATTGAACACAATATTAGATGCCGCTCAGAGACCACCACAGCAGGATCCAAATAATGAGTAATATACAATAAGATCATTTATTTTATTACCCCACACATACACACACACACATACACACACAGCAGAGAGGGTTTGGAGTCAAAAAATACTACGGGAGTGACGAACCGTGGGGTCCTTATCTCTGCTGTGACACATAAAGATTTTTGTTCACGGAGCTTTTCAAGGTCATTCAAAATTCACAAATAATGTCACCAACTAACAGATTTTGTAAAACCCTACTATGTTTGTTTCAAACATTTTTCAAAAAAATCAATACCTTCCGAGATTTGACTATTCGGCAGCCCGAATTTTTCATGTTTGACTGGTTATAACTCGATAACTGTCCATTATTGAGCTTTGTGCCCATTACATCTTTTGTTCAGTAGGTCATAAGCTACAACATATGTAAAAACCAATTGATTTGACCGGGACAGATTTTCCATATGATTAGTGCGGGGTTCTTTAGATCTAAAACTCGTTCTCTATATCGGTCATCAACCTTGTCACTAAATAGTATTGTCTCTATCTAAGTAGCTAACTAAGTAGCATTGTCTCTATCAAACGAAGCCAGTATCTCAGTTAAATCAAAATCCGGTTGCGTCAATAGAGTAGGTCCATCCATTAAACCAAATTCTTCTAGTATTTGATTGTCATATTGTTCATCTGTAACTACAAATTTCACATGTTTATTTTAGTAAAAGTTCACCCGTTTTAATTATACCCGGTTCTTATATTGAAATAATGTGTAGCGCGCTTCGATTAATCTCGAATCAGCGAGCGCAACAATATATATATAAATAAAACGAAAAAGGACAGCGCTCAAAAGAGTTGTAGTAAAAATTAGTATCATAATTCTCATCTGTTGATGAAGCATGTGCATAATTTTGCGAAGAATTGAAGCTCTGTTGAGCACTGGCAGTTTGTTGTTGCTGACAAGATTGCTGTTGAGACATGAAAGCAAGTGCTTGGGTTTGGATAGCGGCTTCAATTTGATTAGCAACAGAAGGTGTTGACTGTGCATAACTGCTTGACTGAGGTGGTGTACTGTCTAGTATTCTTGTTTCTCCACTCACAGTTTGTAATGTCATCAAAAATGGGAACGTCAGTGGAATAGATATACAAATATACGGATTATCTCCCATTACATTTCTGTTGTGAATGATTTCCTGTTGTGAATGAGGTTGTTGTGCTTGCGTTTGTGGCTGTTGAGTTTGTCGTATCTTATATAAAAAAAAATATATCCATTTAAGAAACACTCTATGTGTTGAGATCTCTCATTGATATCATATTGAATGACATTACAAGTGAGAAATCACATGTATTTTTTTTGAAAAAAATGAATTATTAAAATTGCTTTTTTCATATGTTGTCACACATACACTTGTATTCAATAGTATAAATTAATAAAATAAGACCCACTTTTTGAGATTCGTGGATTAATAAAGAACTATATAATTAAAATTTAAAATTCAATCAATTGTTAGAATTTATTTTTGCTAAAAACGCAAAATACATGCAAATAAAAATCATATGTACATTTACTAATGCAAAATGACGAAAAAATCCATTAGCCGTTGCTCGTTTTTGACATATTTTGCCATCCATACTATTAAAACAAATAAATAACGGTATATTTTAAAAAACTAATTTATATCAACATACGCAAAAAAAAGGTTATACGATTTCTCGCATCTGATGTCATAATTCAATATAATTGCAATAAGGACTCAAAAATTTTATATCAAGTTATATAATGCACACTTAAAAATTTATCAAGAAACAAGATATAAAGCTAAGAATAAAAATTCACCTGTTCTTGATCCAGCTGAAATTGCAATTTTTTATTTTGTTCCTGTAATTGTTGCACTCTATATAAAAGCCGTCATTCTTCTCGCTGCCGTGCCCCTATGTCGAACGTGGTTTTTGGTATGTTCTTCTTTTTTTCTAAGTCAAACGTTGAGCAATAAATTCGATATTGTATATCTTGAGAGCAATAAATTAGAGAAACATTTTGAGACCAAAATCATTACAGCAACTAATTGCGTTCATGTACGTTCATAAGTTCACGGGAATTGAATATTACGTTCTTCTATAATTCGGGCGCAAGACTGAATCAATTCTCGATATCGCCTCGCCAACGGCGATCTTATCGCCCGCTATTACCGCGAAATTATCAATACACAACTTAAGATTAACAGGCAATTAATACAACGCGGACATGCTTCGATTTCGGACGGACATATTACGCAGAATCGAATGCTCGGCACACACACGCAATTCATGCAAGAATCGCGAGAAAACTCTCACAAAACGCGCTCACAATCTCGAGACGCGGTGCTTTACAACCGAAGATTTACAAACGAAGGACAAAAGTAATATAACAAATTGACGCGAATCACACTCACACTCAGACGACCGACATACAGTACGAACGAGTCTTAAACGCTAGACGTGCGAGAACCAACGCAAATATAATCTACGGAATCCGAATCTCCAGAGAGACGACACACGGTTTAATAAAAACGCGAGGTAATGTCTCGATCCGCGGAAACCGATACTTTCGAGGCTCCGGGGCTCGAATCGCTTGACGACGTGGCCGTGACGCGAAAATCTACACCAAAGAATCGGGCTTAGCCCGTACACCAAAGTACGAATTCACGGCGACGACGACAGAAAGAAACGATTCCGGGCGCGATCGCGAGTGGCGAATATGGCGGAGGATAACCTCACCGGTACTTTTCCTCTCGAGGTGGTTACACGGGGTCAGCGACGTTGACGTCCTCTCCCTCGGGTCCGTCCTTCGCAGCTGCCGATCGCCGGGATCCTCTCCGCTCGCTCACGCAGCAACGATCTCGCAATTATTTTCGCCACAAGTAGTCCTCTCGATTACGCCTTTACAACGCGGTGCTTCGATTTCGGACGGACATATTACGCAGAATCGAATGCTCGGCACACACACGCACGCAATTCATGCAAGAATCGCGAGGAAATCCCCACCAAAACGCGCTCACAATTTCGAGACGCGGTGCTTTACAGCCGATATAATACGTCGAATTTACGCGATGCACTCTTTTCCTCTTGTAGGGACGGCCAGGGGTCGGCGACATCCTCTCGAGCTCACATCACAGTCCTTCGCTGTCGATCGCCGGGATCCTCACCGGGGTCGCTCGCTCACGCAGCAACGATCTCGCAATTGTTCTCGCCACAAGCAGTCCTCTCAATCACGCCCCTACTCGCACCCAAGCTCACGCCAGTCTCATCCCGGATCGTCGCGATCCAGAATCGATACCTGTGGGCCAGCCGGGGCTGCGCACACGGGGTGTGTATTATCGCGGCCAATCACGCGCTGTGGTCGACGGGTGGCGCGCTCACGGTCGTAACGGGGGTGCGCGCGCCCCTGGTAATTCGAACAATAATTCGCTGGGGCCCTTTCCGCGGGACCGTCTAAAATTTTGAAGAGCTCTATTCCCTTTTCCGACCGCGTTTTAAGGGAAAGATCACATTGTAAATCGCAAAGTTCCTGTTGTAGTTCTATATTTTGTTCTTCGATTTGCACGGTAAGAGGATTCTCGAGAAGAATTAGATCATTTTTGTATAAATGTTATTTTTCCCAAATGAAATATATCAAAACAGACAGACGCTCTCGTTTGAAAGATACATCATTATCTTCATTGATGCGAATAAGTTCTTCAAATATTCAGATAGATATTCCATCCATCATCGAATCATGCGAACGGCGTAACCGTACAAAATTTTAACTTAATAAATTTTAAAATTATTACTTATATTTTTTCAATTTTGTTATTTAGTCCTATAGTTGGTGGCTATTTTTTTTATTCTTCTTCTTTAGTGGACTAGGCCTACGGAGGAAACCATTGAAAAAAATGCGTCAACAATAGCACCTCATGGGTGATGTGGAAACCTATTGCTAAAAATATAATAATTATAATTACGTTATTCTAATTTATGTAATGACATCATATACTGGAGATATCCAACAGTCCATAACTTAAATAATATCTTTCATAAGTATTTTGTGCTTTTAATAAAAGCGTTTTTTGTAAAACTTTAAATTTATAATTATTTATTACTTTATATATCGGGAAGAGAGTCTGCGCGCGAGACATTTAACAAATTTAATCTATCGAATATAATTTAATAATATTTTAGGATTATTATATCGTAAATGTAATTAATAATCGAGTATTGAAACTTTGTTCTTGAATTAATTATTTGAAAAAATTCTAAAGAGATCGCGTTTAAAACTGATATTTGGCAGTAAGGGGGTACGGAACCGCATCACAGTACAGATGCACCGTACCTGAGAGCGCCGCGCGCTTGGTTACGGTTGCTAGGTGAGGATCTCAAGACGCAAGGGGGGCGCGATAGGCGTTGACTCTCGGAAATCGGCCGAAATGTGCAGATCGTGGTATGCACTGATCTAGACCGAGTGTTGAGGAGTGGGAGACGAGGTGCACGTAGAAAAGGACATACTCTGTTTCGTGCCCCTTGCGTTCTCTCTCGCTCGCACATAGCATAGCGCTCTCTTTCGTCATGCTACGTGGAAAACGAGGAAATAGAGAGCTTTAACCATAGACATAGTATATCTAGACCGAGTGTTGAGGAGTGGGAGCCGAGGTGCACGTAG